CAAAGAACTATTGCCTTGCAGCCTTGCAGGTATTAGTAACGGATGCGCGAAGTGCATCATCACACGTTGCACAGTTCAGCGAGGTGTCCAGCGATATCCCGAGAGCGGCCCTCAAGACGGCTCAATTTTTCGGGATCTAGAGTATGCCCCAGCTGTTCACAGCCCTGCCCATAGGAAGTTAGAAGACATCGAGCAGCTGCCCCCACCAGAGCGGTGGATTGGCCAGGCTAACTGGCGAGCGGATCGAGAGGCTAAAGGAGCTCTTGACCTGCATCCCAGACCCTCGCCAGCCGACTGGCAGCAGCTGGATAGCTCGATCGAGAGTCTCGAAACGGTGGCCCGCCTCGTGGCGAATGTGTTGCCGTGTTTTCCGAGGGTGCACCACCAGCGCCCACCGCGACGTGAGCGCCAGCGTAAGGTCATTGCGTGCGCCACGAGCTGGCATGACTGGGAGCCCTGGTTGTGGGGCCACAGGTGTGCCAAATGTTTAAGTTTTCATGGGGGTAACCTCCAAGATAGGCCAGAGGTTGGATGTAAGGGACTCTCGAGGAGCCTCACCAGGTTGCTCTCCGAGGCCCCCGGCCACGGCCACAAGTTAGCTAGTACGCAAGTAGGTGACGAGAAGCTGCCCCTAGTGTTCTGTATGCTCTGCGGTAGCTACTCTCAAGAGAAAGTTCGTAATCTGGCAGTGAAATGTGATCCCAAGGAACACAGCGCAGGTGCCAGTGTGCTGAGCAGGCTCAAGCGTGGCCTCCATCCTCAGCGTAATGTTGCAGTTTCGTGTGCGGCTCCTGAACGACCTGGGTCAGGAGCGGCAGTGCGTGCCTTTGCGACCGCTTCGCGGGTGCACCTCATCCCTCCGAGCACGTCTCACTTGGAATGTTTGGCCCCTCTGAGGGCTAGGATTGCCGAGAGAGAAGCGGGGGTGCGGGTGGACCTTGGGAGCGGGGGGCGGGAAGGGCAACCTGAAGCTCTAGGTGTGCAGAGACCTGCACCTGGAGATGAAGTTTTTGATGATTGTTCGAGGCTGAGGAAGCAACAGCCCGTGAATTGTTTGAGGTCAGGGTGCCTGTTGCAACGCCAGAGGTTCCCGTGCAAGCCACCTCCGCTGCGTCTGACCCCCGTGCTGTGATGAGGAATGTGTCCGACTTGCTGCGTAGCGAGGAGGATGAGGCTCCTCTGATTCCGAACCGCCCTGATGGCTCGGAGTCGGGGTCAGACTAACGCCTGGGGGACTGGCGCGTGGCCAAGGGACATCCTCCCTCTTTGGGAGATGAGTCCGTGGTCGCCTGCTGGTCCCTCGTCTGGTGTTAGGTTCAGAGTGGTTGCTTGGTCAGCCGCTTAGTAAAACTGGTCTGGCCGAAGGTGGCCAAAAAAAAAAAGACGGCTCAAGCGCCCCGAAAGGCCCCCTAAACTGCTTCCGAAGGGTCCAAAAGGCCCAATAGCGGCCCCGAACGGCCCCCCACCAATACGGTCGTTTGTGGGCCCAGGGGTCCTGTTGAGGCCAGCCAGGAATCACCAGCCTCGAACTTGTCCCTATCCTAAGATTGACACGCCAAAAGGCGATGGCAATCTTAGGGATGCGCCCTCAAAAACTAAGGGGATCCCTAAGATTGGCACCGTGATGAGGCGATGCCCAGCTTGGGGATAGGGATATGTTCCAGGCTGGTAAAGGAATGCCCCCCTTGGACCCTGGCGTCTCCATTTTTCAAGCCGGGCGTTTCGTGCCCGGCCTCGGGCGCCGAGGCGGGACGCTCACAGAGCGACCTGGCTCGAGAAGCGACGCAGAGAGAGGGGGGGGGGAGTCTGGCTGGGGCTCCGGTCGTGTTTTTTTTCCCGATTGCTGCGCTTCTTTCCGGTGCGTCGGATCGCAGGGCTCCTTTGGGGGCGCGCCTGTGCGCAGCCCGAAAAGTCTTGGCAGGCACGCTCCCGCACGTTCCCGCCGACGTGCGCTTCGCCGTCTGGCCGGGCCGCATGTCCAGGGGAGCGGCGCCCTGGGCTGCGCAAAAGTCGGACCGTCGCAGGCCCGGGGCGGCGAACGGATCTCAGAGCGGGCGCAGCTGCCCATGTGCAGACGGATCGGCCGGTGCTCCAGGGAATGCCTCCTCCTCCTCCTCCTCCTCCTCCTCCTTCTCCTCCTCCTCCTCACTGTGTCTCTGTTCTCGCCCTCTTTCAATTCACTTGCTGCTCTACGGCTCCCTCCTCCTCCTCCTCCTCCTCCTCCTCCTCCTCCTCCTCCTCCTCCTCCTCCTCCTCCTCCTCCTCCTCCTCTCTTTCTCTTCCAGGCAAAACCAAGTCATACCACGCGCCTCCTTGTCAACCGGCCCGACCAGTACAGGCCACAGTTTGGCGTCGCTTGGTCTCCCTTGGAAGCGAGGGTGGTCAAAAGCGAGGCAGGTTTGTGTGCCCCCTAGTCTCCCCATTCGTACATCCGCGCCCTCGCGGTCTGGCATCCGGGGCGCGCGATCCCGCGGGTGTGCGCGGCCTCGCGGGTAGGGTCCGCGCGGGGCGGCCGCGGAGAGGAGCGCTCCAGGGCCCCGCGGGGTCGCGGCCAGAGGGGTGCCCGCGGTGCCGCGGAGGCGGAGAGGGTGCTCGCTCACGAGGAGGTCTGGGTGCTCGGCAGGCCGGCCTCTGCTGCGACCTCTGCCGACGTGGCGTGCCACTGCGAGTCGAGCCCCTGTCCGCGCTTTTTGCTGGGGGCGGCAGCGACTCCTTCGCTGGGAGCTGTCTTGTAGCCCCCTGCTGGGGGGAAGCGCACTCGATGCGCACTCGGGGCGGGAGATCTGTGGCTGAGGTGTGTCTGCGGTGGAACCAGGTCTGGGCTTCGAGGGAGGAAAAACCACCCCGACCCTGATGACTGGCATTCGCTGCACGTCCCTGGGCGTCTACGAAACAGCCCCGCCCTGCTCGGTTCCTCCCCTGGGTGCGCGTCCTGACCGGCTTCGCCTGCCGGGGTGCCTCTTCTCGGGGTGGATCTTCTGCTCGCGAGGAGGAGGAGGAGAAGGAGGAGGAGGAGGAGGAGGAGGAGGAGGAGGAGGCGGAAGAGGAGGAGGAGGAGGAGGAGGAGGAGGAGGAGGAGGAGGAGAGAGGAGGAGGAGGAGGAGGAGGAGGAAGGAGGAGGAATAATAAGAATAATAATAATAAGAAGAAGAATAATAAGAATAATAATAAGAAGAATAATAAGAATAATAATAATAAGAATAATCAAAAGAATAAGAAGAATAATAATAAGACGAATAATAAGAATAATAAGAAGAAGCATAATAATAATAATAAGAAGAAGAAGAATAATAATAATAATAATAATAATAATAATAAGAAGAAGAAGAAGAGGAGGAGGAGGAGGAGGAGGAGGAGGAGGAGGCTCTCGGCAGAGGCGTGGACATCAGCTTCTTCGTTGGCCCAGACGCGCTCGAGGACACGCGCGCGTGCGTCGCCCTGGTCGTCTGCGAGCTGGACGCCGCCGCGGGCACGGCGGAGGCGGGGCGCCCTCTCGAGCGGCGGCGGCCCCGCGGCCCACGGCGAGCGCGGGGGAGGCGCGGCGGCGAGCGCGGGGGCCCTCTCTGAAGTCGAGCGGGGGGTCGACTGCAGAGTTTCGGGCCGGACGAAAGGGGGGGGATTGGGAAAGGGGGGGTTACGAAAAGTGCTGCATGCAGCTGGTTTCGGCCTCACCGAGGGGCCCATTCCTCGATACATAGCTCCATCCGGCGCCAAGAGGCGCCGGGGAAATCAGCTACGTGAGCTGATTCTCAACCTCCCCCTTTGCTATCCCCCCCTTTCGCCCGACCCGAGAGTTGGTCTGCCCCGACCTTGTTTTGTCCGTCGAATCTGCCAGAACTGTGTCGACGGCTCCAGTAATTAGATCTACGGAGCATTCCACGAGTTCCTGCCAGACTCGACGGAAACAAAAACACACAGTTTTGGGGCAAAGCAGCTCAGTAGTCGGGTAGGGGATCGGCTGCAGAACGGGTTTGTCCCGAAATTGTTTTTGTCCGTCGAGCCTAGCAGGGACACGGGGAGTGCTCCGTGGATCTGCTGGAGCAGTCGACGTATGTCCTGCAGATTCGACGGAAAAGAGCAAGTTTGGGGCAGATCAACTCTGCAGTCGATCCCCTGCTCGCAGAAGGCGGCGCGACTTCTCAGGGGCCCTTCGGGGCCTTCCGAGGAGTGTCTTCCCAGAACACTCAGACGGCTGGGGATCTTCCCGAGCCTTCTCTGAGGAGGCCCGCCCCGTCTCGCTGCGCCCCCGGGCTCGCCCCCCCCAAGACCCCCCCCGGGACCCCCCCCAGGACCCCCCCGGGGCTTCCCCCCGGACCCCCCCCCTGGCCGGGGAAGGGAACAAAGGGAACGGGAAACCCTTCGAGTCAATTTACTTTACGCAGGAGGAAGAGATGAAGGAGGAGGAGGAGGAGGAGGAGGAGGAGGAGGAGAAGGAGGAGGAGAAGGAGGAGGAGGAGGAGGAGACGGAGAAGGTGGGAAAGGGAAGGAGGCACGGACGAGAAGAACAACCCATTCCACACGCCGACAGGGTCGGCGGATTTTGCAGGATTCTGAGAGGCCTGACCGACCCGGGTCTGGATTGACCCGGGTCAGAAGATCCCCGACGGGGAAGGGAGCCTGCAGACCCCTTCGGGTCGCGAGCAGCAGCAGGACGGGCGGTCTCTCTCCAGATCTTCGGCCTCCGGGGGCCCTCCTCGGGCCTGGGGGCCGCGAAGGGCGACGCAGGACCGACAAAAAAACGGTCCCCTGGGAAATGGGTCGAGGCCTCGTGGGGTCGACGTTGTGAGGATAGCATGACGTCGGGGGCGGTGCCCGGGTATCCGAGGCCTTCCGGATGAGGTCCGAGTAGATGGGGTCGGAGGATCGCGCCTCATCGCCGATGCGTCTGCGATGCGGCTCGATGTGGAGCCCGATTTTATCCACGCCGTCGTCTCCGATGCACCGCCGACGTCGCCGGTACATCGCCGATGCAGAGCGACCCGTGGAGCCCATCTATGCTAGTCGGGCTCCATCTAGAAGGCCTCTAGATATCCGACGATCTGAGTTTTTCAATCGGGCGTGTTCTTTCGATTTGGGCCTCCAGGGCTCGTTTTATCGGGCCTGGGGACTGTCAGAAAGTTGCCATCCCAGAACATCTGGCTCCAGGGAAGGGATCGGAACCTCCTGAGAAAAAACATTGCGATGGATGTCAGGGGGTGGGGCAGGGGCGACGACGACCATCACGCGACGACGACGACGACGACGGCGACGGCGACGGCGACGGCGACGACGACGGGCGACGACGACGGCGACGACGACGACGGGCGACGACGACGGGCGAGGGCGAGGGCGAGGGCGGGGGCGAGGGCGACTGCGGCGGCGGCGGCGGGCCTGGCCGGGCGTGCCCCTAACGGAGGAGGAGGAGGGGAAGGAGGAGGAGGAGGAGGAGGAGGAGGAGGAGGAGGAGGAGGAGGAGGCGGAGGAGGAGGAGGAGGAGGAGGAGGAGGAGAAGGAGGGGAGGAGGAGGAGGAGGAGGAGGAGGAGGAGGAGGGAGGAGGGAGGAGGGAGGAGGGAGGAGGGAGGAGGAGAGGAGGGAGGAGGGGGAGGGAGGAGGAGGAGGAGGAGGAGGAGGAGGAGGAGGAGGAGGAGCAGGAAGAGGAGGAGGAGGAGGAGGAGGAGGAGGAGGAGGAGTAGAAGTATTAATACTACTACTAATAATACTCATAATAATACTACTCCTACTAATAATAATAATAATAATAAAAATAATAAGAACAAGAAGGAGACGAATAAGAAAACTACGAATAATAATACTCATACTAATACGACGAATCTGAATAGTAATGCTAATATCCATAATACGAAGGGGAATGCTATTATTATTAATAATAATAAGAACACTAATAATAATATCAATAATAAGAAGACGAATACTAATACGAAGAACAATAAGACGAACACATAATACTAGTAACACTAATACTAATACTACTAATACTAATAATTACAACAGAAACAATACTACCATAATATTATAATAATATTAATACTAAGAATGATACTATCAACACTAACAATAGTATGGATACGAAGAAGAAGAGGAGGAGGAAGTGGAGGATAAGGAGGAGGAGGAGGAGGAGGAGGAGGAAGTGGAGGATAAGGAGGAGGAGGAGGAGGAGGAGGAGGAGGAGGAGGAGGAGGAGCGAGGCTTCTGGACGTTGTTTGGCTCCCGCTTCGAGCCTCCGCGGGGCCCCCCAAGAGGCCTCCTGGAGCCTCTCGGTGGAGGCTTGAGCAGACCCCCCAGAGGCCTCGGAGGGGCCCAAGACCCTTCAGTGTCTCGAGCAAGATCGAGACGGAACTTATCTCTCCATATCTCAGACTGGGGCTTTTGTTACGTAACTCCGAGAACCTCCTCCTTCTCCTCCTCCTCCTTCTCCTCCTCCTCCTCCTCCTCCTCTCCTCTTCCGCCGCTGCCTCAACCAGAGTGACTCACTCATACTCAGATTCATGCATGCTCAGTCATACTCAGACTCGCTCACACTCAGACTCACTCACACTCAGGTTAATTCGCAGTCAGACTCACTCACACTCAGACTCACTCATACTTTGACTCAATCAAGTCGGACTCACTCGCGCTCATACTCACTCACACTCGGACTCACTCACTCTCGGACTCACTCACTCTCAGGCTATCTCACACTCATGTTGCTCTCATGCTCAGATCCAGATTCAGATTCGCTCGTATTCATTGGTGGTCAAATGCTCACCGCAATGTAGAAGGCGGAGCATTCGGGCACCCCAGAGGGGGGGGGGGGTCGCCTCCAGGATTCGCGCCCAGACTGTAGGGATGTCTCGGGCGATTTGCCTATCCGCATGCCCAACATCTTCTGCTCTCGGAGGGGATTCTGAGGATGTCTCCGGCGAGGCGCTGGTTTCAGCACTCCTGCGGTGGGGCGCCAGGGGTGGGGACACTTCAGGATTCGCGCCCAGATTGTGGGGATGCCTCAGGCGGTTTGCCTGATTGCGTGCCGAGCACCTTCTGTTTTAAAGCAAGCTGCGAGGATGTCTCAGGCTGTTCTCCTGTTTCTGCCCCTCCAGACTTTTCTCTCTTGGTGGTCCAAAGTTCTCCGCGACATCTCACGCGTGGCACTTGGGCATCCCAGTGAGGGGGCGCATCCAGATTGGGGGGATGTCTCTGGCGGTTTGTTCTTGTGCGTGCCCAACACCGCCCATTTTCAATGCAAACTGTAAGGATGCCTCAGGCGGCTTGCCTGTCCCGCCCCTCAGACTTTCTCGCTTGGTTCTCTCATGTTCTCGGCGATACAGCGGGCTTGGCATTTGGGCACCATTTGGGCACCCCGAGGCGGAGTTGCCAGGGGTGGGGGCACTCCACGTGTCGCGCCCAGATCATGGGGGTGCCTCAGGCTGTTTTTGCCTTTTCCGCCCTCCAGATGTCATTCCCCCATCAGTGCTTGCACTGAAGGGGCCCCATCAGAGATTATGGATTGGGCGACAGTTCGGGGCCGAGTTCGGTGGGCGGCCGGGTTCCCGGGCTCCTGGTTCCGGGTTCCCGGGCTCCTGGTTCTGGGTTCCGGGCCAATTTCGGTCGGCGATCGGGTTCCCGGGTTCCCAGATGATTCCCAGATGATTTTCGTTGTCGATTTGTCGCGCCATCGGTCTCATTACCCACCTCTCTATCGATCTCACAAGAGATCCCACAATCGATCTCACTATCGATCTCACAAGTCGATCTCACTATAGATCGCACGAGCGATCTCACGATCGATCTCATTAATCGATCTCGTTGAATCGACTTCGGCGATCGACCTTACAATCGTCTTCACTATCGATTCCACTATCGATTTCACAATCGATCCCAATATCCATCTCACAAATTTTCAAAAGATCCACTGGTTGGGTTTTTTCCAACTTGAATTATTTCGTGGTCCAATGCTCACCGCGATATCGCAGGCGTGGTACTTGGGCGCCCCAAAGGGAGAGCCGCCAGGGGTGGGGACACTCTGGGGTTCGCGTCCAGTTTGCGGGGATGTCTCTGGCAGTTTGCCTTATTCTGTCCACCCACTCCAGACTTTTCTTTCTTGGTGGTCTAATGCTCACCGCGATAAGGCAGGCGTGGCATTTGGGCATCTGAAGGCGGAGCCACCAGGGGTGGGGACACTTCAGCATTCGCGCTTAGATTGGGGGTTGGATGTCTCAGGCGGTTGACTTGTTTCTGCCCCCCAGACTGTTCTTTGAATTTGTGTGCTCCTCACTCACTCGCTCACTCACTCACTCACTCACCTCGTCCCCCCTTTCCCCACTCGGACGCACTCATTCGCACTCGAACCTACTCAGCAGCACCTCTTCTTCACTCAGACATTCAGATTTGCTCAGACTCAGACTCGCTCAAACTCAGACCCACTACCCAGACTAACTCACACTCAGACTCAATCACACTCAGACTCACCAGCCCTCAGACTCGCTCTTACTCAGACTACCTCGCACACAGGACCACTCGTTCTCGGACTTATACTTCTCACATCCAAGCTCAGACTCACCCACATTCAGACTCCCTCATGCTCAGGCCCACGCGGACTCACACTGACCATCACACCCAGGCTACATCGTACCCCGATCCACTCACTCCGACTCGCTCACACTCAGATCACCCATGCTCATACAGTGCCGTTTTTAATACATGCTCCGCGTGCGGAGCATGTGCAGGGATCTAGTACTATACAACGACGATGTCATGCACAAGCTTATTCCTAAATCAAGCATGTATTAAACATCCTATGTTTTTAAACATTCTATGTATTAGAAACTGCCCTGTATTCATTCGCTTTGAGGCTCACGCGTGAATGGTGACCGCGATGTGGCGGGCGTGGCACCCGGGCACCCCGGATGCCAGCAGGGCGCGCCGCGGAGGGCGTGCCGGAGAGCGGGCGTATAGGAACGCCACGCTCGCTCGCTCGAGCGGCCGCGGGGAGAACGCCGGGAGGACCCCCCCCTCGCTCTTCCACTTGTGTGCTCCTCGTCTCTCCTGGAAGATGTCCAGAGGAGGAGGAGGACGAGGAGGACGAGGAGGAGGAGGAGGAGGACGAGGAGGACGAGGAGGAGGAGGAGGAGGACGAGGAGGAGGAGGAGGACGTCACCGAAGTCGTCGCTGCCGTCGTCGTTGCCGCGCGCGTCGTCCACGCGGGCTTGCCCTCACAGCCAGATGCGCTATCGGCAGAGCTCCTCAGCGACACGTGGCAGGAGTATGAGATGCGCCTATGGGGATCCCCGCGCCGAGTAGTTTTCATACCCTGAATGTGAGGTCCCTTTGTGGCGCGTGAGATGCTTCTACCTCCCTCATTCCTCCCTGTTCTCTCCTTGCTGCTCCCCGCCTCCTGTTACCCCTCCGCACATTCGGGCCCACTCACCCGCAGACTCGCGCGCACCCAGGCTCACTCACACTCAGACTCACACTCGGACTCGTTCGTACTCAGACTCGCTGGCAGCCAGGCGCACGCACACACAGACCGCCCACACTCGTGCGCACGAGTATTCTGCTTATCCATACCCAGGCCCGTTCATGCGCGGAATCACCGACGCCGAGGCCCGCTCGCGCACATACCCAGTCACACTCATGCTCAGACACAGCCTCATAGTCAGACTCACTCCACGCTCACACATATCCTTGGCATCGCTCGGACGTGTGCATTTTTCCTTCGGCGAGGACCATCGAGGAGTATCCTTGATCATTTTGCGAAAAAAGCCACGCACGAAACATAACAAAAACACAGGGAATGGACGTCCGAGCGATGGCGAGTATCAGGTCACACTCGGACTCGTTCTTGCCCAGACTGGCTCGCACCAGACGCGGCAGGCGTGGCGCCTCGTCGCCCCAAGGACGAGCCGCCAGGGAGGGGGGGGGGGGGCTGCCCGCCCGTGCCCGGATGGGGGGGGATATCTCAGGTGGTTTGCCTGTTCGCTGCCCTGTACAGCGCCCCTACGCAGAAGGCTTTGCACTTGCTTGGCATCGCTCGGACGTGTGTTTTTTTTCTCGGCCAGGACCCTTGAGGACAATCCTGAACCGTCGAGCAAAAAAAGCACGCACGACACCGAAACATGCACAGGATATGGACGTCCGAGCGATGGCGAGCTTGGGCGCCCCAAGGAGAAGTCGTCTGGGAGGTGGGCGCTCGCCTGGTCGCGCCCCGATGGGCGGGGGGATGTCTCAGGAGGCTTGCTTGTTTGGTGGCCCAGGCTTCTGTCGCTTGAGAGAGCACGGATCATCGCGATATGGCAGGCGTAGCACTTGAGCACCCCAAGGAGGAGCCGCCAGGAAGGGGATCACTTGCTCCTTCGCGCCCAGATGGGAGGGATGCCTCAGGCGGTTTGCTTGTTTGGTGGCCTCCTTTCGCTTGACGCTTGGGCATCCCAAGGAGCCGCGTGCACGCATGCACGCCGTTGGTAATCGCACGCGGGCCGCGGCTAGAGCCATCACATGACGTGTTCAGCTTGTGGGCAGGGTGTTTGTTGTCTCTCGGCGTGCGATCGGGAACCTTTGCTTAGCGTGTCGCTCCGCCGGTTCTGGCTTACCACGCTTCGGCGCAACACGCTATCTGTTTCCCAGTCCCCATGTGTGAACGTTCCGAGCCTTCCCCAGCCTCCCGCCCCGCAGAGCGGGGCGACACGCTATCCGCTCGCAGGACGTAGCGTGTCGCCAGGGCCGCCGCCGCGACACGCTAAGCAATGGTTCCCGACCGTACACTGGGCTCGATTGCGCCCCTCGCTTCCGAGGTTGTCTGGGAGGACTACGCCTACGTGGACAGACCGCGTGATGCTGTGATGCGACGGAAGAATTATGAGCAGGCTACGTCGAACAAGCAGCTTGCGTATGCATGCAAAGGGTCTTGTGTATATGCATTTCGCGGGCACGTGTTCAGACAGCATTGCATAACGTGCGTGTGTGCCGCATGGGAAGAAACATGCTCTCACATGAGGGGCTATGCAAGCGGCCAGCTGCAGGCAGCATGACCTTGCGGCAATTCACCCGCTGCAGCCTTCACGAGGATTGCCGCTCGCGGGATCTCTCTAGACGCTTCGCGTAAACTCACCAGCCCATCCAGACACGACGCCCGGACGAGCTGCCCTGATCAGGGATGTGGAGGAGCATGCAGTGGCGTAAAGGGTTGGTCAAGACGTCCTACCTCAAGAGGGGGAGGATGGAGGAGGAATTGGAAGAAGAGGAGTAGGGAGAGGGAGAGGGAGAGGAGGGAGGAGGGAGGAGAAGGAGTAGGTGGATGAGGAAGAAGAGAAAGAGGAGGAGGAGGAGGAGGGAGGAGGAGGAGGAGGAGGAGGATGGAGGAGGAGGAGGAGAAGGAGGCGGGCGAGCAGTTCGGCCAGAGGCCTCTTGGATGCCCCTCGTAGTCTCTTCGGATGTCTCTTGAGAGCTTCTTGGAGTCCTCTTGGGGCGTCTTGGAGGCCTCTTGGCGGCCTCGGGTGCCTCTTGGAGCGTCGTGGGTGCCTCAGGGGGGCCTCTTGGGGGTCGCTCGGGAGCCTCTGGGGCCATCTTGGGGCCATGTTGGAGGATATCGATCAAAGAAGGGGGGGGTGTAAATTAGAGTCCCTCCCCAGGATGCCAAAATGGGCCCCAAACCATGCTACGATCTAGATTTGATTCCCCTTCGCCGAGGCCAGCTTGGACGCTCCAATGGGTCGCCTCCCCCCCCCGTCCAGGTCCAGGGGGTTGGTGATAGGGAGAGGGGCAAACCTCTCCCCGAAGGGGAAGAAAGAAGGTTGGACCAGGAAGTGCTCTGAACCACTCACCAATGGTTGAGCCGCCTGACCGCTGTGCGGAGTGGGTCCTTCTGCGTGGCGGGAGGACCAGGAGGCAGAGGCCAATCTCCGACCCTGGGCAAGGAACCGACCCGAGAAGCGGAGAGCCCTGCCGGGAGCACTGGCAGGCATCAAATTCGGCACGCAGGGATCGAATAAGGCAAATCATCCGAGGCGGGGATCTATCCATGACCACCGCCTGGGAGGTCGACCTTGGGGGACGTCGGCGGGCGGTGGATATGGATAGGTTCGGGGGGCCAGCATCTATCCGCTTCCACCACCCGCGCGGTCCCCAGGACGTCGGTTCCCATGCGGTGGATATGGACAAATCTCCGCCTCGCAAATCAGTAGAAACATTAAGCGTCGGAGCTCCGCGCGGATTTCTCAGATCGGCGCTGGATCCATCTGTCGGCGTCTCCGGCGCAGCCCCTGGCGCGCTCCGCGCGCCAGCGGAGTTGGGTCTACGCGCCCACGCGTGAATGGGCACGTAGAAGGTCGCGCGCCATGGAAATACGATCCTTCAGCTTCCCGACATCCGTTTCGGCGGTAGCAGATCATGGGAGCTTGGTATACCCTCTTAATTCCGTCTTCAGCGTCGATTAGCGTCGATTGGCGTCTGGGAGTCGATGAAAGAGCGCCGATCTAGCGTCGGACAGCGTCAACCAGCGTCGATTTAGCGTTGATTCGCGTCGATTAGCATCGATTTGCGTCGATTCGCAGGAGCCGACAGGTTTGAGATGGAAGGATCCCCATGCCTTGCCGCCGAAACATCCTTCATCTTTTATCGGGTCCTCTATATCTGGCCGAGTGGCCCCCCCCCACGTCTCCTCCAGGACATGACGGAGCCCTACGTCGCGGGCTACCTGGCCTTCCGGGAGGCGCCCAGGGCCCTCCCGCGCCGTCGGGAGGTTCTTGTTTTTGTTTGTTTATGAAAGAATTCTTGAGCGGCAGAAATCGTCATGGCAGCACGGTGCGTGTATGGGGGGATGCGCTCGGGGTTCAGTCGGGCGTGTCCCTCCACGGGAGGAGTATTCAAGAATAGCAAGAAATAGTCTGGGGACGACTCTTCTATTATGATGTTTTGACTCTGTTGGCGCATGCTTCGATTGTTAGTAGTTTTCGCCCAAAATCCGCCTGTAGGAGGACATGCCCCACCTGACTGTAGGGGGGATGCGCTCAGGGGGGCACGCCAGGCTCGAGGCTCGAGGTTGCAGGTTTTTGGGGGCGTCTTCGCTTGAGCTCGTTGGTTGTTTCCAGCCTCCGGGTGGCTCTCCAGCAGGTGCGCCCCGCCGAGAGCGCTGGGTGGGGGGCCTGGATCGTCCCGAGCGGCCGCCAGAGGCCCGAGTTATGTCAGGCGATCGCAAACATGGATCAAGGGGGCGCGGATTTGCGGCGGGTCCCGTGTCCATTGGAAATCAAGGGCTTCCGCCGCCGAGCGAGGCGGCACCGGCCGCCTTTTTGGGGAGATCCACGTATTTGGCGACCGCGCGCCAAATCCATGGGTCGCTAATCCATGTTTGCGCGCGTCCGACAATCACCGTGGACGGGGACACAAGGGTGTTCAGGGTTCGGTCTGTTCGGTTGTGTCGCAGTCTGTTGCGTTCGGTCGGCTCGGTTCGATCGGCGATCGTGTCCTTGCGCGTCGCTGCGCCCTTCCAGGCTGCTCTCGGCCTCTCGATTTCGGTCGGTTTCGATTTCGCTGCCAGCTCGGTCGGTTTTCGGTTTTGCTGTCACCGTGCACGGCCTTGGGCGGATAGGCTCAGGTCTCGTGCGGGGGATCGACTACAACATTGATTTACCCCGAAACCTTTTTCTTTGAATCTGCGAAAAAATGTGTAGAATGGTTGTCGAATCTCCGAAACAGCGACGCAATGTTGGTATGTTCGACGATTGATAAAATCCTGGGGTAAATCAATTCTGCAGTCGATCCCCTACTCGAAGGTCGGGCGAAGGGGTCCATGCACACACGCACACACCAATCCTGGCGGGGCCCATCCCGGGTCCAGGACTGACGCGTCCTGGGCACGAGAGAGCCAGTCCCGCCCGGACCAGTAGCGCTCGGATTCGCGATCGGGGGCCCAGCGCCGACCTGTCGGCGAGCACTGCCGATTCCAAGTCGAGGCTTCCCCCGCTCTCTCCCCTGAGCGAGTCCCCCCCTTCCGCTCCTCCTCAGACCGTTGGCGACTCGACGACATCGCGCTTCCGGGAGCCTCACGGTCAGGAGGGACAAGTCGGCACAAACGCTCAAAACGCTGCCTTCCACGTCATTATGTGGGAATACGGGAACCGAAGTTGAGGGAAGAGGATCATCCCGGAACCATGGAAGTACAAAAGTATTCGAAATCCTGGGTCTTGTATCTCTTCGTGTCACCAGCGTGTGCCCCCCTGTGCCCCCCTGCCCAGGCAGCTCGGGGCGAGAGATCGGGCGGCAGGGAAGGGGGGCCGAGAGCGCTCGGGGACGGTGGACCGAGGCATCTTAGGCCGCCGAGCCCAGGCCTCCGGCGACGCGTTTTTTTTGTTTCGGCCACGCGTGCTCCCCGCTTTGAGGCGCTGACCACGAGGAGGAGGAGGCGGAGGAGGAGGCGGAGGAGTAGGAGGAGGAGGAGTAGGAGGAGGAGGAGGAGGAGGCGGAGGAGGCGGAGGAGTAGGAGGAGGAGGAGGCGGAGGAGGAGGCGGAGGAGGAGGAGGAGGAGGAGGAGGGCGGAGGAGTAGGAGGCGGAGGAGGAGGAGGAGGAGGAGGCGGAGGAGGAGGAGGAGGAGGTGGAGGAGGAGGAGGAGGAGGAATAATAATAATAATCATAATAATAATAATAATACTAATAATAATAATAGTAGTAATAATCATAATACTAATATGAAGACGAAAATAACAAGAATGATAATAATAGCAATAATAATACTAAGACGACTGCTAATAAACTGAAAAGAAAAAGACTAATAGTAATAATAAGAAGAAGACGAATAAGAATAAGCATAATAATAATAAGGAGGAAGGAGGATGAGGAGGAGGAGGAGGAGGAGGAGGAGGAGGAGGAGGAGGAGGAGGAGTGGGAGGAGGAGGAGGAGGAGGAGGAGGAGGAGGAGGAGGAGGAGGAGGAGTGGGAGGAGGAGGAGGAGCTTCCCTGGGAGCCGGCTTTCAATCCCGAGTCGTTGTCTTTGGACTGCCCGTCCCGTTGTCGTTGTCAAGCAGCTTCGGTAGCAAGTCATGGGGGCCTTGTGTGTATACCGTACCAGCCCTCTCTCTCGAGTGAGAGTTCGCGTCGATGAGCGTCTGACAATCGATGGGGTCGCGCCGATGTAGCAACGATCGGCGCCGAACTAGCGCCGACTTGGGCGTCGATTCTGCGCCGATGCGCATCGCGCAGCGCCGATCCGCAAGAGCCAACAAGAGGTGGCACGGGAGGCTCCAAGGATCTATGCCGCAGCACGGCGGCGCCCCCGAAAACCGTTCGTTTGTGTTGTTGTTGAACATTATTACTTCTAAAGAATAATTATTGTTGGGGCCCCTGGTGCACGACCCCCCCGCCGCGCCTAGGCCGCAGCCTCATTTTCATCATTTTCGTGAGGAAGTCTCAGGCAAAACGGGTTGGTCCGGATCCGGTTGTGTTGTTACGATCGGTTTTCCCTTGCAAAAAATAAGCTAAAGTGGACATTTCTTGTTCTAACATAACCAAACTTCAAGAATCCCTTGCAAAAAATAAGGTAAAGTGGACATTCGCGCGCGCAAGACGAAATCCTTCCAAAACCTTAGTTTTCGTAGCGATTTTAACATAAAAACATCAAAAAACCAATGGTTTTTCAAAAAAAAATGTCAAAATTTCATCCCGCGCGCTCTTGCGGATTCGTAGGAAACCCAACACTTTTTAATCATTTCTGTCAAACGGGCTTTTGCGAGCAACTTTTTCGAACTTCTGCAACAACGGTTGCGCACCTGCCAGGGCCATCATCCCTGTCAAATAATACCATGCGGGACACATTCGTTTTTTCTTCGCGCGCGCACGCCGTCGTCGTCGGCCGCGGGGCCCTGAATAGTAGCCACGGTCGTCCGCATGCCACGAAGTGAAGTGTCCGAACGTCATAGGGCGGGAAGCTGGGTGTGGGTGGTGGCGAAGAGTCGTTTGGAAATTTGGTAGAGCTTGAACCGGCCCCCCCACAAAGTGGGGGTATTGCCCGCCTCCTATGAAAACCCTGGCACTGGTGAGAACGGAGTGTCCCCACGTGCTAGTAATTGTTGTTGTTGTTGTTGTTGTTGTTGTTGTTGTTGTTGTTGTTGTTGTTGTTGTTGTTGTTGTTGTTGTTGTTGTTGTTGTTGTGGTGTTGTTGTTGTTGTGTTGTTGTTGTTGTTGTTGTTGTTGTTGTTGTTGTTGTTGTTGTTGTTGTTGTTGTTGAATATTATTACTTCTAAAGAAATATTATTGTTGAGACCCCTGGTGCGCGACCCCCCTCCAAAACCTAGGCCGCAGCCTCATTTCCTTCATTTTCTAGCGAAAGCTTCAGAAAAGTGGATTGTCACCGGATCCGGTTGTTTTGTTGTAATCCGTTTTCCCTTGCAAAAAACACTATAAAATGAAAATTCTTGTTCTTACTTGATCAAATTGCAAGAATCCCTTGCAAAAAATAAGGTAAAGTGGACATTCGTGCGCGCAAGACGAAATCCTTCCAAAACCTTAGGTTTCGTAGCGATTTTAACATAAAAACATCAAAAACCCAATGGTTTTTTAAGAAAAAATTGTCAAAATGTCCTTCCGCGCGCGCTGTCCGAATCCCACAAAACCAATGGTTTTTCAACATTTATGTTACATGAGCTCGCGCGAGCTACTTTTTCTTGTTCTAACATAATCAAATTTCAATAATCCCTTGCAAAAAATAAGGTAAAGTGGACATTCGCGCGCGCAAGACGAAATCCTTCCAGAACCTTAGGTTTCGTAACGATTTCAACATAAAAACATCAAAAACCCAATGGTTTTTCAAAAAAAAATGTCCAAATTTCATCCCGCGCGCGCTGTCCGACTCCCACAAAACCAATGGTTTTTCAACATTTCTGTTACATGAGCTCGCGCGAGCTACTTTTTCTTGTTCTAACATAATCAAATTTCAATACTCCCTTGCAAAAAAAAGTAAAGTGGACATTCGCGCGCGCAAGACCAACAAAAAACACGACGATCTTAGGAACTTGCCCCAAAAATGTGACCAACTCCGCTCTCTCTGTCTCTCTCTCTGTCTGCTCTCTGTCTCTCTCTCTGTCTGTCTGTGTCATGTATTGTATGTCACAATTGCAGGATGCTGGGCACACGCGCGCCCCGAGCCAGTCGTCCGCCACGAAGTGCCCCCCCCGATAGTGTCCGCACCACGAAGTGGGGGGTATTGTCTGGGGGTATTGTCTCGCGTCGCATGAAAACCCTGGCACTGGTGAGAACACTGAGCGTTCGGGTAAAATGATTGTTGTTGTTGTTGTTGTTGTTGTTGTTGTTGTTGTTGAACTCTCATTTCGGATGAATAGTTCTTGTTGATCCCCCCCGTCCGGTGCACATTGTTTTTTCTCGATTGAAGTGCCCTTCTCAGGGCTCGCACCCTGTTTTTTATCAGGGAAAGTCTTGAGGGCCAAACTGTGTCGTTGGCCCCCGGGTTACAACAACAACAACAACAACGGCTCCCGCTTGAGACTTCTTCAAAATTTAGCCAGGACCCCCGCTCCCGCCCGAGACTTCCTCGCATTTTATTCAGGAAACGCGCTCTCGCTTGGGACTTCCTTATAATTTATTCAGGAATCGCTCTGCTGGCGCTCTGGAGTCGCGCTCTCGCTGGAGACGTGGTTGCAATTTACTGACGAATTGCGTCCTTGCGTTGGAAATTCTTGCAATTTACTCACGCGCAGCGCTCCCGGCACCCAGGAGTCGCGCTCACGTTGAGGACTCCCTCACAGATTACCTAAGAATCGGGATCTCGCTGCCCTTCGTGGCCCCGTTGCAGCCCTTCGTGGCCCCCTTGCTTTGTTTCGTGGCCCCGTTGCAGCCCTTCGTGGCCCCCTCGCTGCCCTCCGCGGCCCCGTTGCAGCCCCTCGTGGCCTCCTCGCTGCCCGTTGCAGCCCTTCGTGGCCCCCTCGCTTTGTTTCGTGGCCCCGTTGTAGCCCTCGTGGCCCTCTCGCTGCCCGTCGTGGCCCCGTCGCGGCCCTTCGTGGCCCCGTTGCAGCCCTTTGTGGCCCCCTCGCTGCCCTTCGTGGCCCCCTCGCTGCTTTTCGTGGCCCCATATATGTATGCCCTTTGTGGCCCCCGCTCGTTCGCGCCCGTGGTGGCCCCATATGCATGCCCTTCGTGGCCCCGCTGTCGCCCCACGTGGCCCCCTCGCTGCCCTTCGTGGCCCCGTTGCTGCCCTCAGTGGCCCCGTCCTTGCCCTCCGCGGCCCACTATACGTATGCCCTTCGTGGCCCCCCTTCGTTCGCGCCCGTTGTGGTCCCATGTGCATGCCCTTCTTGGCCCCGCTGTCGCCGTTTGTGGCCCCCTCGCTGTCCCACGTGGCCCAGTTGCTACCTTCAGTGGCCCCGTCGTTGCTTTCTGTGGCCCCGCATGATCTGCCCTTCGTTGCCCCCGATTGTTCGCGCCCGTCGTGGCCCCATGCGCATGCCCTTCGTGGCCCCGTTGTCGCCCTTCGTGGTCCCCTTCCTGCCCTTCGTGGCCCCGCTGTCGCCCTTCATGGCCCCCTCGCTGCCCTTCGTGGCCCCGTTGCTGCCCTCAGTGGCCCCGTCCTTGCCCTCCGCGGCCCACTATACGTATGCCCTTCGTGGCCCCCGCTCGTTCGCGCTCTTCGTGGCCCCATACGCATTCCCTTCGTGTCCCCGCTGTCGTGTCCTTGTGGCCCTGCTGTCGTTTTCTCTCACTCTCGCTTTCGCTCGTCATCGTCGTCGCCGTCGTCGTCGTCGTCGTCGCCGTCGTCGTCGACGTGGTCGTCGTCGTCGTCGTCGTCGTCGTCGTGGTCGGTCCCCTGTCCGTCCCTCTTGGGGTCGGGTCGACGGTCCGCGGCTGCCCCGCCGATCAGCGCTGCCGCTGGCCAGGCCGACGGACGGTCCGCGGCCGCCTCTCCGCTTGCCGGGGCCCGGCCTGCAGGGAAGAAAGGCATTCTCCCCAAAAAGGGTTCGATCGAATACGAAGAGGGCGGGTATCGAGGGTTTGGGAAATACGCGTTATTGGGCACTCGAGCAAATAAGGGCGAACAGTCATAAAAGGCTTGTTGTTGTTGTTGGTGGTGGTGGTGGTGTTGTTGTTTGTTTGTTTGTTTGTTTGTTTGTTTGTTTGTTTGTTTGTTTGTTTGTTTTTGTTTCCCACGACCGCGAGAGGAGGTCTGGGAGCACGACCGGGAAGCATCCGCGCGGGCCTCGGGGGCCGCTGCCCTCCAGAGGGAGGAAGACAAAAGCACCGGGGAAGCGCCAGACTCGAGTGCGCCGGCTTCGGGTTCGCCTGCGTTTTTCTGTCGTCTGACGAGCCCGCCCTGGGATTTTTCATGGCGCCATTATCGCAGAGCGGATGTCGTGCGGAAAACGATCGGATGGGCCCAGAGTGTCCTGGAGAACTTCGTTTCGGATTTCGAAGTGAATTTCGTGCCGACTTTTTTTGGCCAAGGTTGAAGACTAAACAGATATCCACGTGACATTCACGCCGTTTTTCGCTCTCCATTTTGGGGTGTTGCGCTGAGAGACATCCACGCAGCAATCCGCTGAAGCACGTCTGCAAGGCCGGTGCAGTGAGATTTGGATGGTCCAGTTTCATGGGATGTCTGCAGCGGGAGCTCGCGTCAAACTCCAGGCTCAGGGGACCACATGCGAACCCTACCCCTACCCCCACGATTTCTTAGGGGGAGGGCGGGGTTCACTTCGCTCGGGAGCTCCCGAACCCCGTGGAGTGGATCTTGGCTGCTTTCGGCGCCTGCTTCGAGCAGGTGGGGTCCCTCCCCCATCGGACGCACTGTTGCAACCAGCCGCACGAAGCAGGGGTCCGGAGCCAGACCCCCCTCTTCCCCCCCCCCCTTCCGCCCAGTGTCGAAACGCCGAATCTGAAAGCGTTCTCCTTAGGCTCCTCATGAGGTGCCCTCCTTTCTCCGGGCCGTCCTCTGGCCTACAGGTCGGGGCACCTGCTCTCGGCAGGAGCTCGTCGTGGCCCCGAATCCGGGGAACCAAGAGCGGCATAAACATGCACACTCAGAGGACACAAGCATACACATAAGCATATTCAGACACATAGATATACACATGCATACTCAGAGGAACACATGCACACGCAGAGGAACACATCATGAGATCAACATGACCACCCAGAGGAACACCTAACGACATAGGTGTAACACACTCGGAGGTCCGCGCGAATTTCTCGGACCGTCCGCTGGACGCCCCTCCCTGGCGCGCGGAGCGCGCCAGGGGCGGCGCCGAAGGGGCCGCCAGGAGGACCCAGCGCCGATCCCAGGAATCCGCGTGGACCTTCGATCTGTTGGGCTCATGCCACTGTTTGTGTTTGTGTTCAGGTGTCCGCGTGGCCAGGGCGGCCCCCCCGTTCCCGATTCGGCGTTCCCTCTGTTGACAGTCGGGCCGAGGTCGAGGATCGAGGCCGGTGCGGGGAGGATGCCCTCATGTGTGTGTTGGCTCACGCATCCTGAGAGAGGGCTCTCGAACGTGCTATTCATGTTGGCAGGCGGTGGGTCTGGTGTTCTTGCAGGATGTCCGTCTGTCCCAGGACCGACTGTGGCACGCTGGCTGTAGTTCCCGAGGGGAGCACATACAGACACAAGTCATCGTCGGCTCCCAGGAGCAGACAAGAAAATTTTGGAGGTGGAGGGGAGACGAGCAAAAACCAGAAATTTGGGGGAACTATTATTGGGAATCCTGGGATTTGTGTTCATGTCTTTGTGTGTCCCGGGGCCCGTTTCGTAACGGCCTGTGGAGGAGGAGCAGGAGGAGGAGGAGGAGGAGGAGGAGGAGGAGGAGGAGGAGGAGGAGGAGGAGGGAGGAGGCGGAGGAGGAGGAGGAGAAGGAGGAGGAGGAGGAGGAGGAGGAGGAGGAGGGAGAGAGGGAGGAGGAGGCGGAGGAGGAGGAGGAGGAGGGGGAGGAGGAGGAGGGAGGAGGAGGAGGAGGAGGGAGGGGGGGGGAGGGGGAGGAGGAGGCGGAGGAGGAGGAGGTTTTGTTGGAGGCGGCGGCGTGGTCGGCCAGGTGCCGCACCACGGGGCGCTGCTGCGGCGGCTGCGGCGGGAGCGGCCCGACCTGGCGCCCGACGTGGTGCTGGTGGACGGCAACGGCGTGCTGCACCCCCGAGGCGCTGGCGTCCTCGGCTTCCCCCTCCTGCTGCTGGTGCTCTCCTCCTCCTCCTCCTCCTTGCTGCCGTTGTTCTTCTCCTCCCTCTCCTCGCCTCCTCCTCCTCCTCCTCCTCCTCCTCCTCCTCCTCCTCCTCCTCTGCTCCCTCTTCCTCCATCTCCTCCGCCTCCTCCTCCTCCTGCCTGGCCCAGGCCCATGGGGCAAGCAAGGCAGAATGTGTGGTCGCTTTGTTGAAGCTCGTCCTCACGGTTTTTGTTTCGGTGCTCCCAGGGCCTCTCCTCCTTCTCCTCTTCCCACGCTGTCCTCCTGCTCCCCCTCTTCCTGCAGACTCTCCTCGTCCTCCTCTGCTTCCTCCTCCTCTTGCTGTTCTGCTGCTCCTCCCTCTGGTCCTCCTCCCCGTTGACTAAAATCGCCCTTGGCCACGGGAGGGCTTCCCCTGAAGCGACAAGGACGACCGACGACACTCGGGACACTCGTGCATGCCGTTGCGGCTCAGCCACGTGCATGCTGCTGCGCTCTGGCCACACGCGTGCCTCTGCTATCCCACAGCATCCCACACGATCATAGTCAAAGGCCCCCCCGGCCTCTGCGTGGGGGGTCATCGACCCCTCTTGATGGGCTTGTTTCCCCCCACCACCACCATAAGTTGAAGAGGGGTGGATGTGGAGGACGAGGAGGAGGAGGAGGACGAGGAGGAGGAGGAGGAGGAGAAGGAGGACCCCCTCCCCCTCCGACTTACGGTGGTGGTGGTGGTGGAGGAAACCAGGCCGTACAATGTATCGAGGAGAGTGGAAGAAGCCCGGTTTTCGGTGTTTCGCTTGGGACATCCTTGGAATTATTGTATGTATGCTTTGTCCTCTCGCATGTTGGCTAGCCTGGCTCGATTTCGGCGCGATTTCGCTTGAGGCGCCCTCGCAATTCGGTTGGTTCCGGCGGTGCGAATTCGCTGGAGACGTCTTTGCAATTTGCTTAGCTTGGCATGGTTTGGGCGCGGTTCCGCTTCGGACGTCCTCACAACTTTCGGGCTGGAGTTGGCCGAGTTGCCGAGTTGGCGAGTTGGGCTGGAGAGCCTGAAACGTTATCACAATTTGCCCGTCTTGTTCTTATTCGGTATTGGGTTTGCTTACTGCGTCCTCATGATTGGCCTGGTTTGGTGCGGTTGGGTCAGCATCTCGCTGGAGAGGTCCTCCACATGTGTCTCACATGTGTCCCGCATTTGTCCCTTCGGCCTGAGGTATCCTCTCGTACTGTTTGGCTCAACTCCTTCAAGGCGCAACAAGAGTCCCATAACCGCGGCCGCGAAGGGCACTGAACGCGACAGTTGCAATCTATGTGGTGTCAGCCATTTCTTGCGAGCTACATGACGCCATTTACACGGTGCAAGCTGTGGGATGCAAGCGATTCTGCGGTGCACGCTATGCTGTGCGAGGCACGGAGTAAGCTATGCGGGGGGGACCCACATCGCCTCACAAGTGGCCGGCTGCAAGACGGCGTTGGCCCGTGGACCAGCGTTAGGAGAGACTTCTCCCGAAGCTGTCGTATGGGGTGCTCATTGCGAGGGTTGCTGTTCTGCTTTTCTATTGTGAGAAGCGCACCTGGCATAGCACATCCTCGCGGGCCCTGGCGTCGTGAGGAACGTCGCACGGCGGGCGCTTTTTCCTTTCGTGGGCCTTGGGGCCCTCGTCACAGGCGCTAAGACAAGAAGGGGAACTCTGAGACCCCCCCAGGGTGCTATTTGGACGCGCCCCTATCGAGGACGAGCGCCACCCCGTCATACCTATATATATATATATATATAGATACAAGACTGCAGTGGCGCTTCGCGCCATGCACCTTGGTCCTTGAAGTGTGGCATGCAGGCGGAATAGCAGGAAGGCCAAGCCGACAATTTAGCGATATTCCTTGTTGCCTTTTCTGGCATCGTCGCTATAGTAATGTTATTCGTTATCCTTCCTCCGTGCTTCTTTCTTCTCATTTTCGCCATACCCTGCGCATTCTCCCATCCTCCTCAGCTCTTTTTTGCGGAGACTCCTCCTTGGAGAGCCTCTGCGGGCCTCACACAAGCTGTTTCAGGCTTTCTTAAGGCCTTCTGGAGGCCTCCTGGGTGTATTCTGGGGGCCTCTTGGGGCTTCGGGTGTCTTGGGGCCATCTTGGGCCGCCATGGGGTTCTCTGAGGGCCATCTTGGACCCGTGTTGTGCCGTTTTGGGGCTCTCTTGGACTGCCAGGAAGCCCTTTCGGATGGTTGTGGGGCGATTTTGGAGCTTCCCAGGCAGCTTCGGACGCCCAGAAGACCGCCGTCTTGGAGCGTCGGGAAGCCGTAAAGAGGAGAACCCCAACATTCACCAAAGACCAGCAGAAAATCAATGATTTTTGCCTCTTGGGGCCTTCTTGGGAGTGCTCTTGGAGGCCTCTTCGGGGCCGTCCTGGATGCCTCTTGGGCCATCTTGAGGTCACGTCGGTCACTCTTGGAGCGCTCTTGTGCTGTCTTGGGGGTCTCTGGGACGTCTGGGAAGGCTTGGCAAAACATCCTGCGAGGCCAGGGGGGGCCGCTTCGAGGCCCGTCCGGAGGGTCCCAAAGCCCCAGATCCCCGATATATCTCCCCGAGTTTGGGCCCCAGTTCTTTGTGAGGTCTAAGGCCTCAGAAAGTTAGGGATCGGGGTCGCCATGCCCCCCCATTGCTCTTATTTTCGTTATTATTGATGTTACTTTTTATACCTTCGTCTTCTTATACCTTCTTCCTTTTTCTTCCTCCTTCTTCTTCTTCTTCCTCCTTCTTCTTCTTCTTCTTCTAATTCCTTCTTCTGTCTTCCCTTATGGCCGGTGCTGCCGACCCTGAATGGGAAGCCCGAGGCGTCTGGGAGGCAAGGAGTCGAAGGGGAACCAGGGAAGGGTGCTCCCCCAAGGGGGGCGGGTGTCGCAACCCCTCGGACCCCCCTCCTGGCCCCCCCTAGGGCTCCCCCCCGCCCGTCCACCCCGCGACCCCGCCCCCCCTCGGCGGGGAAAGGATCACAAGGACGGGCCTTGCTTTCTCTTTGGCTGGGACGTTTGACGAGGAGGGCCCATGGACAAGGACAGGTGGGAGCGGTGACGACGACGATGGCGACAACGACGACGACGACGACGACGACGACGACGACGACGACGACGACGACGACGACGACGACGACGACGACGACGACGACGACGACGACGACGACGACGACGACGACGACCACGACCACGACCACGACCACGACCACGACCACGACCACGACCACGACCACGACCACGACCACGACCACGACCACGCCGACGACGACGACGACTCAATCAGAAAAGCCTCTCGCTCACGCCTACGCTGGCAGGGTCGGCGGCTTTCTCCTCTTTCCTCCCCTCCCCCCCTCCGAAGTCCTCGCTCCTCGCTCCTTTCTGCTCCAGTGTCAACCTCCTCCCCCGAGAGCTGGCGACGCTGTGGACGGCACCCGGCGTACTGCACCCAGAGCCTCCTTCTCAGGGTCGGCGGTTTTCTCCCCTCTCCTCCCTCCCCCCCCCCTCCGAAGTCCTCGCTCCTTCCTGCTCAGCGTCAGCGTCCTCCCCCAAGAGCTGGCGACGCCGTGGGCGGTACCCGGCGTACTGCACCCAGAGCCTCCTTCTCAGGGTCGGCGGTTTTCTCCCCTCTCCTCCCCTCCCCCCCCTCCGAAGTCCTCGCTCCTTCCTGCTCAGCGTCCACGTCCTCCCCCAAGAGCTGGCGACGCCCTGGGCGGCACCCGGCGTGCTGCACCCAGAGCCTCCTTTTCTGCAGGCCTGCGCGTCGCAGAGCGACGTGCGCGAGCGGCGGGCGTTTCTCGACGTTTTCTCACGGCGCAGGGGGGGCGCCCCCGCGGCCCCGGCCAGCGGAGGGCCAGTGGCGGCCAGTGGAGAC